TCGTAATAACCTTATAGTATTTGTTGGCTGACAACATTACGTCTGGTTCAGATCCAACCCAATATGTGAAACGTACATCATGATATTAACACGTTTTATTTCAAGCCAAATATGTCAAACCATACGCCGTCATCAGCTTTTATTCATATTCAGTCTGCATTTCTCATTAACCAATCTACAATTTCAACATTTGATGTTGTATATATTAATCAGGTGATATTATCTTACAAGCTTGCAAACGGTGAATGCAACTTTCAAATTGTTGCTGATATATATCTTGTCAAGTCAAACTAAACGTGACTCGAACTGATGCTCGCGCACGAAACCTAGCCGCCCTAATTCACGTCACGGCACATCTTGTTCGGTCACAGGCATCCTCAAATTAAAGAGCGTAACTGAGTTTATTGTGTATAGAGAGCGTAAAAACCCGTCAAGGCCGATTTGCATCATATAACATCAACATCAGTTTGATGGTCCTCAGAGCTATTTAAATCGGCAACTGTAAATAATTACTGGAAGCTTTGGAATGCCTGTCATGATAATAGATTTAAATACAATATTCCCCATATCTAGTATAATCATTATTAAATTAAAAATTCCTGTAATGTGTGTTTATAATTGCTGCCCAAATCATGCAAGTTGTTGATCCTAAACAGTACTCCAACGACGTGTGAACTACATGTGCGTAAATGATGTCGTTATGATACCATATTTTTCGGAAAGTGTCAACTTAAGTCAGCGAGTCGTCACTTTAGTATAGTTTAAAATGTATACAATGTAGCACTGTAATTTTGGATATGGTATTGTTAGTTTAAGTAGAACAAGTAAATTCGGTTATGTGTGTGTGTGTGGCGTGCGTGTGTGTGTGCGTGCATCGTCATATTCCCGATGGATTATATTCAAATTTGATGCAATATACATAAACTCAGCAATTCAAACAGGCGCTCAAAGAAGTTTCTCATAATCTTTTGTAAAACTTAAGACAAAGTTTCCTCCTCTAATTTAGCAGCAGGGATTTATTCAAACATGTTTGTTTCTTCTATACACAGAACATAATTTTATTTCAATATTGAAACCAAACCTTTCTGCATGTTTAGTCTTTGGTTTAGTTAACAACTAATTGATATTTTCTTTGATATTTTCAATACGTTTCCTACGAAATAGACTTAAAATGTTTTGTAAAATGTTCTTATATTTGGTTATTCTGGTCGAATAGAATTTGCCAAGGTGTAGTGCTGAGCCGATGGCCGAATACACGAACCTGACGTAGATGCCGTAGATGACGTAGAATATATCACGTGACAAGCTGCCTTTTTGTATCACGAGTTTTTGTTCGATGAAATGATGAAATTTTCTTATACGCATGCGCACGGGTTGCAACGCATCCGTGTTAGTGTACATTTAGTTCATGTCTACTTGTTGGAGTACAGAAATAACTTTAGTGTTTCAAAAAAAATTAAAGCGGGGAATCGTCACCTGCGCATGCGTCAAATGGCCATAGCGTGTCATTGTTTACAAACAAGCGTCTACCCATAAGCCTTTGCGTTTTTAGCGTGTGTTATCCCGCTTTAAAAACTATAATTTTTATTATCAACAGAGATTAATTTTCACACAGAAATAAAATGTTTAGAAATCGGCCACTCTCTAAACAACAACCATCTTGTACATCTTCAGATATTTCTTTTCTGTGAAATTCCACCATTGCCTGGATGCGGTGGCGAATCAGTCGTAGTCGACATACGGGACATCAAATCAAAACTGTCACATGATCTACTGGACAAATTCAGAAGGTTGAAAGTACGCTATTACCACCATTTCCCGTCTGGTGATCCTGGAGCACACTCTAGTTGGCAACAGGTATGAATGAAATAATATTATGGAATTTCAGATTTCTTATTTGTTACGTATTATATTAGAGACAGAGGTGAATATTATAATTGAGTAATATGAATGTGGCGGACGAACCTATGACCTTACGAGAAGAGCGAACGTTAGTGGCGCAACCGTTCTGCCTCTAATACAAATACGTAAAGAACAATTATAATATCGAGTGGCTGTGTTTTCTTTTACATGAATCATTAACGATTTTTAATTTTGATTATACAAATATATTGTATTTTACAGGTGTTTTCAACCGGAAATAAGCACGACGTTGAATCCTTTTTGACGAAACACAATTACGACTTTGAATGGACGCAAAATGATTCACTGCTATATTCACACGTGATTCCTGCTTTCATATGCCATCCGACTACAGGTTTGTGTTGCCATATAGTCACACGCATAAAGTTACAAAATGTACTTCTCACACTGTAGAAATGCAAAAACACTATGCGAAAACACTTTTCCTATGTGTCACGCCCTCTAGTGGCGAAGCTCTCCTATCACGTAAATGGTGGAACGAAGCGTCAATGATGTTTTGATCTGTAATTATCTGTCAATTAAAAAATGTCTTCTAAAAGACACGAATACACAAACACACAAAATTGTTGCTTCCAACGACACTACCTTCACCCGTCTACGTCATTTTGACGTAACATGCACTGACAGCTTATGGAAAGCACGCTTCGGTCAATCAATCAAGGCAGATCTCATTTTCATCGATCGAATAGTAAATAGTATCCTTTAAAACAAATTGTTCAGTCTACGATATATTTCAGTCCATGTGTCCCTTGACATGCCGTATCAAACAACAATATACGTACATGTTGTGTTACATGACATGCCGTATTAAACATCAATACATGTACATGTTGTGTTACATGACATGCCGTATCAAACAACAATACATGTACATGTTGTGTTACATGACATGCCGTATCAAACAACAATACATGC